TGTAAAATCGGCTCTTGTTTACGTATATATAACTTCCAAGAACATAACATAGACCCTACTATCGTGGTTATTAACCCAATCAATATTTTCAATTCTATATAATAAATTGAAATGTTTTTTCTTGATTAATTAAAGTTTAATTGTCTGCTTTTTAAATTGTCATAGTATATTTTTATTGTTTTCTAATTTACATTACAATTGACATGACGCCTGAACATAAAATAAATGTGATATTAATTTTTATAGATACTAATAATCAATATAATAGTAGGAGATATTGCATCTGCGGGCTAAAATTTTTATGATTAAATAATTTTGTTTAATTACATTTTAGTCATCGAATCGAGTATTTGTGATAAAAATAACATAAATAAAAGGTAAGAATAAGAATTTAACAATATCGCGAAATTAAACAAATAATAAGCTTTATAATTTATACCTGGCTTTATTGAACTCGATTTGTTTATAAAACTGTTATTACATTTTTTGAATCATGTATTAAAAAAATGCTTTTTATTAATACTATTTTATTTTTTAATTAAATTTGATTAAAATTTAGCTTTTATATTCCTTTTGATCTTTCTATGAATTTTTAGAAATATAATATTTTTTTAATATTTAGTTTAAATTTGAAGAAAAAAAATTATGATTTCATTTCAATAGTCTATTATGTTATAAATGATCATCTTTTTTTTATAGTAAACTATGATTAATATGCGTGTGCTGTGTATAATAATCTATTATAGTCTTTTATAAAAAAAAGGAAGATAAAAATGTATATTTTTTTTATATTTCAATAATAAATATTATTTAACATTGTCATTATTTTATTTTTAAATTTAACATTTTATTTTTCGAATATTATATTATTTATTCATCGATTTCGATATTAATATAATAGAAAAATTATTATAAAATTATGTTTTTTATACAAAATAATTGGAAAAAAATTTATTTTTCCATTTTAAAAAAGAATGGAGCAAACATAAAATTGTTATTTTTTTAAATTGCATCTTTATATTATTTATTTAATATACTTTGTTTTTTATAAGGTAATTATAACATAAAAATATGAAACTTATAATTATTAGTTCTAGTTTTTAAATCTATCCTATTACTTATGATATTCGAGTTATTTTTCAAAAAAATACTAATATTTATATAACGTTAAAATTTGAATAGGCCTTATAAAGCTGTATAAAAATGTTTTTAATCTTAAATTAGAATTTCGAAAAATTTTAGATCAAAAATTATATACTATAATAATATGACTTCGAAAGTTGCGAAATTGAACTTATTCGATCAAAAAAATTTGGATTTTCATCAAATTACATTAGATAGATTTATCCCAACTAAGTGCAATTATGTAGTTACTTTAGACAGAACTTCCCAATTATTTGACCTTAAACGCAAAGCTCAAGTCATTTTTCTAAATGACCGTTCGAATTCGAACAAACACGAAACTATATACGAAGTTATAGAAAAAATTTCGCCCGAATATGATATTTTAGCGCAGAAAGCGGCTTGTCAATTAAATTCTCTCGATGAAGATGATTTAATTAAACAATGTTTCTACGATCATCATCCACTGCCCACCTCGAAAATAAAAGAACAAACGCTATTCAAATCAAAATATTTTTTTAAAAAAGGTGTTGACAGGAATATTAGTGACTATAGAAGAAAGAAATTACCCGCCATTCCTATACCTTACGATTGGCTAGTCACTATGCCTTGGATCTATCAGGCTTGGTACTTTGATTATGAAGATTCCGATTTATACTTCGATCAATTATATAATATAAAACCTCAAGAGGAGGATGAATTGGTTTATGATAGCCATTACTCTGCGGTGTTTTATCATGAATACCTCGATTTTGAGAGCGGTAAATGTCGATTTGACCAGAATGACCTTAATAAAAGTGCTCCGGAGACTTCCGTACTCAGGGAACAACCACCATTTTTGAAAAATGACGGAAATGATTGCTGTACCAAAAATTGGAATACAAAAATAACCAGGAGCCTGAAAAGTTTACGGGGAGAAGACCATGATAGAACTTTATGGTCTGTTGATTCCTGCAAAAATATGTCTATTTCCAAGAAGGCCTCTTCGATGGCTATCATCATGCCCTCGTTTTCAACGATTAATTCTTCTAATTCTATCGCAACCGATTTTATTCATTTTTCGAAATTTTATTCATCTCTACCTTATTACTTAAATAGGTCCACTTACCCCGGAATACCTTTTCAACTTTCGACACAAGATTTATATTTAGAATCTTACAAGGATATCATTGACGAAGAGAAAATTCTTTTAAACATTAAAAGATTTAACAAAATCGTAAACGATCCATGCTTTATTAAGATCGAACACGCCTTTTTCGAAGAGAATTCCCGGTTAAGTTTGAATGGGAAAGTCATGAAAAATAAGTACTTCCCTCTATTACAAATACTTTTAAATGCCCACCAAAAGAATTCTTATTTAACCAGCGATCCATCACATCGTACATTACCTTGTATTCCAACGCACTTTGGTGAAATAATTAATAAGCCGACAATGGTTAAAAAGATTGGTATCAATGATATCCATCTACCTGGAAATCTTTTACATAGTGCGTCTATAAGAGTCATTAACTTATGTAAATGGAATGGAATTCAAAAATATGATACCCCCGTGTCAAGGTATTTAATATTATATAATATGAGAATCAATATTTGATGCTTAATTAACACCTATGGACTTGGAACGAAACACCTTTTTTTTTAGAACATGAATCCGAACACAAAATTCCCTTATTATAGGTTTCTGTCTATCATCCAAAGGCCCTCTTCTAAAAAAAACACCATCCTATATTTGAACCAAGCCCTCTTATAATATAAAATTTGGAAAATTAACTAGATAACTGGATGGCCCGCGGGCCGGTCAACTTTTACAGAACATTTTTATCTGGTACGAAGCAAATTTTAAATGCAGGGATTCACTTCCCCTGGTTGCACCACTTTTATTCTTTTTATTCAAAATTAAATGCACAAACTACAAACCGAAATGTAGTTTAAACTTAAATAGAGTATCTATATTTTTAGTTTTAAAGAATTTTAAACCTACTTTAGACATATGTTTAAGGGATCATTGTCTTTATTAATTTCAATTTTTATTCTCCTATTTTAATATAAAAATATTTCATATCTATTTCCAATATTGAAAATTTGTATCCCCTCTTTTATTGAAAAATGTTTGTTATTTTTTCGTTTTAAAATTAATATTTTATAATTAAAATATTGGATTTCATAGATATTTAAATTTAAAACCAGGTTATTTAAATTTTTTTATTAAATTTCGAATTATAAAAACTTAACGAACAAGGATAACAGTTTTACATATGACATTCCAAATTTATCCCTTCCCCCCACTTTCATCGTGGAATAAATAAAAAGAAAAGCATTTGTATTCTACACTGAAGAGTGACAATAGAACCCTGCAAAATCATTTTTTTAATTGGCTCATTTTTTTATTTTTAAACCAGGTCTGAATATATTTATATAAAATTTTTTTTAGTCAAAAAGTAATTTTTTTCAAAAATATAGGGCCTTCCTGTCGTTTAAGTATATAAATAAAGGCATTTTTATAAAGTTACATAAAATTACTAATTTGTCTTAATCATATAAAATTTTTAACAACAATTTTATACTGGTTAAAAAAAAGAAAATTAGTATATTTTATTTTTGAAAATATTTTTTGAGCCAGGGGTTGGCCCAATTTAAGAAAGTGTTTTAAAGAATTATATTTTAGAATAATTTAGTCATGCCATAATAAAGATATATTGCTAAAATAAGAAATATTTACTTAGCGACGCTGCGAAATTATTTATTATCAGTAGCGATTTCGAATACATTGAAAACACTATTAAATGATAAAACAATTAATAAATGAGCTAATTATTACTGTTGCATAATCGACATTATTTAAACCCGTTTTCAAACGGATCAAAATATGGCCACCACTTTTAGTCTAAAATTGTCACCTTTTTTTAAAGCTTATTAAATGACCCAGGGTATACAGATTAGAGTACATATATACCTCAACTTGTTTAAAATCGTGATTAGGCTGCGAAATTCTAAACACCAACGACATGCGCCCTTATAACACCAATTTCGACATTTTGGGCCACCACATTGAATATTTTCGAAAGGCAGAATACCCAGACACTATTCCATCAATAGAACGTTTAGAGTCACAAACATACCTTCCTCGCTGGAATCACCTGGCCTCAGCCTTGACAATTAAATCATATCTGATGCGATGACACTGCCATTAGAATCAAGATATACCCCTTGCTTGAGATTACACTTTCATACATCTGTTTTACCAGATCCTTTTCTTCAAACTCCTTCCCTTCATGAAGACAATATAAAAACTAATAAATAATATCGTAACATAAACGATAAATATATTGTTCTTTTCGGTAGCATATACATGTGGCCTATTTTAACCTTAAGCCATAAAATTAGTTATAAAACAAAAGGAAAAAAAATTATGTTTAATCATATATAGGTTAGAAAGAAGGCGGCAAAGATTATCGATCAAAAATTGTCAATCCAATGTTTCTAATATATGGATCATTAAATCCTGCCAAATTAATTAAATATTATTTTTTTTATTTTTTTACATTGTTTTAATTTTTTTATATATTATGATTTTTATATTTGTTTTTATATTTTTTTAAGTGCAATTTAACTTGTTAATTTTAATGTATAAAATATATAGGCCTATTTCGAATTAAGATAAATAAAAACAACCCCAATCTTATGTACCTTAATAAATCGCAAATGCACGTTGCTCAATAATCTTTAACATATTTAAAAATTTACTCTCACTAACAAGTTAAATTTTAATCAAAAGTTCATTTTTTTAGACTATAATTTTTTTACAATTTTAGGATCGACATTCCACATATAGTATAAATCAAATTATTCATATTATTTATCTTTCTCGTAAATTAAAGATTTTTGGTGAGTTTTATGGTGGATGCCAGGGGAGGTGCCATGAGAGGATGCAGACATTCAGGTTTAAGGGTAATTATACCACCTCGCAAGGCAGCCACGCCCATTAGAGTTACTTGTCGATTTGTCAAACCCGAAAAAATGGCGAATTCTCCTCCACTTATGGAAGGAGAAGGACTAGCGTGCAGAATTTTGGAATTAGGTCCAGCCGGAACCAAATTTTTGGGGTATTTTTTTCTAGTATTAACTTATTTTTTAGAATGCTACTATAATTACTAGTTTTAAAAAAAATATTTTTAACACTTAAAAATAAATGAATTTTTACATATGTTTTAATAATAATTTTATAAGGATAAACGAGATTGTTAATGTTATTTATCATATGAAAAAGATACAAGATTTATTGCTCTTAAAGAAACCATTTTTAAAGTTAAATTTATAAACCTATTTGGTAAACAAATTATATTTGCTTGAACTATATATTTATATAAATTATATTCAGACCAGTTATTATCGAAATTCCACACTTTGCATCCCTGAGAGGCAGCGAAAGAGAAATAACAATTTTACGTAGCGACAATGGCGAAACCTGGAGGGAACACGTGTTGGAAGCCTCCGAATCGGCTGTCCAAGAGGTCTTAAACGAGAGTTTTGATGGAGAAGGTTTAAATTAAATTTCTGTTATTTAAAAATATTTTGGTTAGACATCTATAATTTTCATTTTCATAAATCTATCTTATATTTTTTTTGTATTTTTCTACAAATTAAATGTTTAAAAAAACCACAGATAGTTTAGACGACTTGCAAAGCAATAGAATAACTCGCATCCTTACTAATGATTTTCCATTGTATTTTGCAATTATATCTCGTATTCACCAAGAGACTCATAGTATAGGACCCGAGGGGGGAATTATTAGTTCTACCATCGTTCCTATGGTTCAGGCCATGTTTCCGGAAGGAGCGCTTACGAAAAGAATCAGGATTGGGCTTCAGGTATAAGTGATAGTAATTTTTTTATACTATTCATATTCAGATGTTTTGGTGGGTAGAGTTCCATACCAGATTTTAAAATTGTTATTACAAATAAACTTATTGACATTTTGATCTGGGGCTTCCAGTATATTTCATTTTAATCACACTATATTTCTGCAAAATTTAATGCGGTAGACCGGGGAACATGCGAGCTCTAAAAGGCAAACATCAATAAAATTAAAATTACTTGATAATATTGAATAAATAATATATTTTATTCCATTTATTTGCTTTACTTTACATAAAAATAATTTTTTAACAGTATTAATTTTTCGGAAAAGAGGAGCTACATCCGGGGGATAATAAGCTTTCCCGTAAAGCGCTCTTGAGCTGTAAAATATTAATTTGTTCTAAATATAAATGCAACTACTTTATTGATAAAAATAAGCCATAATGGAAAACAATTATATAATAATTAAAATTATTGATAATTTAAACAAATAAAGAATGGATTATAATTACAACACGATCCATAGCCCAAAAAAAACATTTAATGGGGACAAAGACTCACATATAGTTTCTTGCTCTTTCTTGAATATTTGTCTTTATATAGACAATTTAGAATCTTGTATCATTAATCTCGATTTATTTCTTTTTACTGTTCATAAGTTTGTTTTCTTCATAACGGCTAGCAAGGACGGATTATCATTATTAGTTGTTTCTTTTTTCTAATATAATTCTGACTCAATTTTAATAGGAAAAAGTAAATTTTAAAGGCTCTTTAAAATTTCATATGTTCCTCTGAAAAGTAGCTCAAACCCTCAATAGTTTAAAATCTGATTTTATGGTAGTTTTATTTTAACATATTTTTTGTCTTTATTTGAAAAGATTTTATATAGAATAGTATTCAATCTTTTATATAAGTTAGTTATTGGATAATTAAGACTTTTATTATTTTTTATTTTATATTAATTGAATCATTTTAAAAAGTTACTTTTGAGAGTATAAATCTGTTGTCATAAAAATCTTATATATGATCCGATATTTAAAAAAATTATAGCCATATATGCATAATGTAGTTGTACATATTTGTTAAAAAGTTACCCATTTTAGTTGATAATCTAAAAGAAAACCCCAAGGCTCACTGGAACCTCGGGCTCATAAGATCCCCGGTCTCTCATACATTTATGTGGATTTCTACGATTTAGGATATAAATGTTTTTTTGGAGGTAAAACACATTTCATATCTTATAATTTAAAAAAAATTATTAGTAAAAATATAAATATTATATTTATAGAAATTGCTTTATTTTTACACCAATATTAAATCTATAAAATTTTTATTAATAGTGTATTAAATTTGAATGAGGTAACGGTTTTAAAATTGAGGTTAGTTGTACCCCATCATAGTTTTGTTAATCTGCTTGGTCGTAAAATTTACGACCCTTTTATGTGCTCAGGCCGACCCGAGGTTCAGACCCACCTATGGATTACACCCGTGGCTCGGATAAATGAAAAGTAAGGAAAAATAAATCTCATTTTCTAATCTTAAATTAAATCTTATACATTCTAAATTAATAAAACTTTTAATCTCATTCTCTTACCATTTAAATATTTGTTTAAATTTGGGGTGCTTTTGATTAAAATGTTTTACGGCCGAAACCCGATTTTTTTTTAAAAAAATTTACCGTCACGGCCATAATCTATTTAAATATAATTAATTTTTATTTTACTTTTTTTTAACTATGTATATTTTTTTTTATAAACAACCTCCCCCACATAATTTCCTATTACAGTGAAGTTATTATTATTTTTTTTAAATATACAATAAAGGGGGTAAAAAAAAGTAAAATTTTATTATTTTAATTAAATATGGACAAAAAATAAAGATTAAACTTCATGCATGTTTAATAAAAAGAAATTATGTTGTAAATTTATAATTTGTGATGAAAAATGGCAGTCCCATCATGATGCTTTTTTTAAAATATTTTTGAAGTTGTTTATTTATTATATTATTTTTTTAGTTATTTACTTAGATAATTTTTTTTAAGAAAATGATAATTTTAAAATTAAATTTAAGTAAGTTTATATATATTTTTGAAGTTAAGTTTATTATATTATTTTTTTATAAAAAGTGTAAATTGAATATTTTATAAAGTCCGTGAAGTTGGCCCCCTACTTTTGGATTTTTAATAGTTTATCAGTTGGACTGATTTGTACCCGATTTATACCGTTTTCAGTTCGATTTGTACCATCACCGTTTTTGAGATATTCAAATAACAAAGGGGGAAGGGGGGGACTTCACGACAGCTCCCCAACTTTTGAATTTTAAAATAAAAAGGGTATAGGTCGATAGAAAATGATTTGTACCGTTTTCAGATTAATTTGTACTATACAATTTTCCAGCTATTGAGCATTTAAAATATGGCGCCAAAAATAAAAAACACAGTTTTTTTAAAAAAAATTTCTTAACGTACAACGATAGAGAATTTTTTTTCTCTCCCTAATGATACCTTAAATTAAGTTTTAGCTCCATTATTTATTTCGGAAATCAAATTTTAAACCTTATATTATAGCATGAAGTTAACCCCCCGATATTCAAATTTTTAAAACGGTATTGAATTGTATCTGATTTGTAGCGTTTCAAACTCGATTTGTACCATTACCGTTTTCAACTATTGACCGTTAAAAATATGGCGCCAAAAATAAAAAACACAAATTTTTTTTTTAAAATTTCTTAACGTACAACGATAGTAATTTTTTTTCTCTTTCTAATGATGTCTCAAATTAAGTTTTATCTAAAAATATACACACATTTGTAAATATATATTTATTTGTTTATCCTACCTTAATATATTTATAAATCTATATATTTTAATAAAAATGCTAAATAAATTTTGAATAGTTTGCTTATTTATATATATTTTTCAAAAATGGACACTATAATATGGAATATTAGAGTTGGTTGTAATAATTTCATTTGCAAAATTTTCCCGTGTCTAGCCGGATAACCTCCTTTTTTTATTCAGCTCATGACCGTCTCTAAAATGGCCTTTATAAACGCATTCCACTATAACTCTGTTCCAACTCCGGACGTACAAGAATAAAAGCTTTTAACTTGATTTATAATTGGAACATATTCCTTTTATCAAGACAATAATTTAGTAATAAAGATACGTATATAATAATTTTAGTGTTAAAAATATCATACTTATAAATATAAGCTAAATATAAAAAATTGAAACTTAATTTGGTTAATTTAATAAATATTATGGACATAGAAAAATAAGGATCTTAAGGAGAAATTATGATTTTTTAACATAAATCCTAAATATTAATCATAAAAATAGCCTTTTCAAGATTTTAAAATTTTTTTCATTATTAACTAGCATAAATGACCTATATGGTTTAGCAAGCCCCGCTAGCTCTAAATTGACAAATTATAATTGAAATGATATATAGATATTATAAATACTCATAAAACTTTCCGAAATTATAAAAGAGTTTTTAAACTTTGCTATAAAATTTGATTAACATATAAATGATTATATATTTTAATAAAAATTAAAATTCTATCATAGCCATATTTTTAACGGTCAATAGCTGGAAAACGGTAATCGTACAAATCGAGTTTGAAACGGTACAAATCATCAATCCCGTTTTAAAAATTTGAAAAATGTCAAAATTTCAATATCGGTGGGCTAACTTCACGCTATAATATAAGGTTTAAATTTTGGTTTCCGAAATAAATAATGAAGATAAATAATTTGAGGCATCATTAGGAAGAGAAAAAAATTCTCTATCGTTGTACGTTAAGAATTTTTTTTTAAAAAATTTTGAGTGTTTTTTATTTTTAGCGCCATATTTTTAACGGTCAATAGCTGGAAAGCGGTAATAGTGCAAATCAAACTGAAAACGGTACAAATCATTTTCTTTCGACCTATACACTTTTTATTTTTAAATTCAAAAGTTGAAGGGTTGACGTAAAGTTGCCCCCCCATTTTGTTCTTTGAATATCTCAAAAACGGTAATGGTACAAATCGAACTGAAAACGGTACAAATCATTTTCTATCGACCTATTCGTTTTTTATTTTTAAATTCAAAAGTTGGGGGGTTGTCGGGAAGTTGTCCCCCCATTTTGTTCTTTGAATATATCAAAAACGGTAATGGTACAAATCGAACTGAAAACGGTACAAATCATTTTCTATCGACCTATTCGTTTTTATTTTTAAATTCAAAAGTTGGGGGGTTGTCGGGAAGTTGTCCCCCCATTTTGTTCTTTGAATATATCAAAAACGGTAATGGTGCAAATCGAACTGAAAACGGTACAAATCATTTTCTATCGACCTATTCGTTTTTTATTTTTAAATTCAAAAGTTGGGGGGGGGGGGGTGTCGGGAAGTTGTCCCCCCATTTTGTTCTTTGAATATATCAAAAACGGTAATGGTGCAAATCGAACTGAAAACGGTACAAATCATTTTCTATCGACCTATTCGTTTTTTATTTTTAAATTCAAAAGTTGGGGGGGGTGTCGGGAAGTTGTCCCCCCATTTTGTTCTTTGAATATATCAAAAACGGTAATGGTGCAAATCGAACTGAAAACGGTACAAATCATTTTCTATCGACCTATACGTTTTTTATTTTTAAATTCAAAAGTGGTGGGGGGGGGGGGTTGTCGTGAAGTTGGCCCTCCATTTTGTTCTTTGAATATCTCAAAAACAGTAATGGTACAAATCGAACTGAAAACGGTACAAATCGCATATAAATCAGTCTAATTGATAAACCATTAAAAATCCAAAAGTGGGGGGGCTAACTTCACGCACCTGATTTTATATATTTTGATTTCGAGAATTGCAGAAAAAAGAGGCTTGTTTTTGTTTATAAAAAACATTCCAAAAATATTCTAAATATCCCATTCAAGTTCAATCTTGCCGAATTTATAAACAAATGTTATCAAATATACTTGTCTAACATAAAAAAATAGCGATGAAATTAAACAAATCCGGCCAGAAAGTTCTTATCTAATTCTGAACTAGGATGGTATAGCTGGAATTAATCGCTCGGCCTACCAACATAATAATTCATTTTAATCCTATTTTTTGGTATTTCTAAGCCCTAAGTGGTCCCGATTAAAATTTTTTAATCCTAAGCTGAGTTGCTTGCAGGATTTTACTATTTAACCATAGTAAATGATGCCATGTTTTTATTTGAACTATTTGGAATAACATTATTCATCTGGACCCCGGGTCTGTGCTCGAGGTTCTTGTTCAGAGCTGGTTTGGTCGATTTTTAGACCCAAACCCGGGTCTCCATTTTTTGCCCATCTCAGCTCTCAAGGATTGGGTTAACTATATCTTAATGGTTAATATTCAGTGGTTTTATTTATTTGCCTAATTAATGAGCAAAAATATAATATTTTTCAATTTCATGTTTTAAGATATTAGATAGTCATTTTCAGAAAATTTATTAGCCTAAAATATATAATAAAAAAAGGCCCATCCTATATCGCCAGAAATGGTTACCAAAATGTTGGGTAACAGGGTTGCAGTAAGCCCAGTAGTTACTATCGAACCCAGGCGGAGAAAATTTCATAAACCTATAACCTTAACTATACCATTGCCCCAAGCCTCGAATAAGGGTATGATCAATCAATACAATTCATCGAACGATGCTCCTACTTTAAGACTACTGTGTAGCATTACAGGTATTGATATTTAATAATTTATTAACCTCATCTTCATCGTCGTTTAGTGGCCCTTTCCAGGTGGCCATTTTCCCTTCTAATCGCCTTTCTCCATTTTACTTGGTCCGCATTGCCCCGGGTCAAACCTAACCTTTTCATGTCATTATCTAGCACTTTCATCTAGTATGTCTTTGGTCGCCCTCTAGATCTTACTCCCTCCACTTCCAACCGACGGCATCTATTCAACCAATCATCCTTTGCTTTCGGTTCAACTTATCAAACCATTTCAGTCTATTTATTCTCAAGACATTACCTATATTGCTTCTAAATCCTTTTTCTCAGTTCCTGACTTGTTTTTTTCTCGTATTCTCATCTTCGTTCTTTCTCTTTTGACTTCGTGAATCGCTTTAATTGCCTATATCTAATTAATAGAGGCAATTTTTTCTCATAAGGCCTTCGCTTGGCGAAACAACTCCATGATATTTACATACTAATTATTTATAAAGTAACTCACAAATTGCAATGTAATTAGTTGCTTTTTAGTCACTTTTGATTGAAATAATATAACTAGTTCTTGTTTAAAGGTAACTTTTAACAACCTAAATTTTTAGAGAAGTTTTTTGCAAATCAATTATGAACGTGAACGTATTCGATTTTTTGTCAATGAAAATATAATTAAATATCAGTTAGGGCAACTTTTATTATTATCTTATTAAATAAATTAAAAGGGGTGTAAAAAATAACAATTTTTAGATAGATTATAAAATAATATCCAATATATTTTTCTTAAAGAAAAAAGAAAGAAATTATTAAAGTACCTTTAACTACTTATAGAATTAAATAATTTGATATTGGTAAAGAATAATAAAAACATATGCCAATGCAAAAGTTAATATTTGGGACTTTATTTTAATGTATAACGAACGGTGATTCTCAAAGCATAAGATATTGATCCCAATTCAATTCCGACTAATAGTAATAAGTTACGAATTTGTGTCTATTATTCGTATTCGCACATTACATACTTATGCCATTATATTTCAATCGTGCAACGTGTTTTTAATTTTGTATATATTTATAATCGTTTTTTTATACTCAACATAAATTATTATATAAAATGAAGGTGGCATTACTCCCGCTCAATGGGAAGACATAACTGGTTCAACGCCGTTAACTTTCGTAAATAATTATGTATCCTTTACCACCACAGTATCTGCCAGGTATTTCATATAAATTTCCTAGATATTAATTGGTTTAGAGGGTATTGATGGGGCTTTTTACGGCCATCCGATTTTCCTGATATAACCTGATCCGATCTTTAATGGTAATGTCTATATGGAATAGAATAAACACAAACATTAACAATATATGTTTTTTAAATTTCTATTAGTCAATTATCTAAATAAAAATTTTATCCGCTATTTTTTTGTATCCGATTATACATTATAAATATCAATGCTAAATTTTTCTTAAAATTGTGAATTCGAGCTGATCTTATTTATTATTAAAAAATTGACCCTAAACTTAATAGTCAAATTAGTGGGTTTTTGTTAGGGGAAAAGCTTTCTCATCGCTTGGATCAAAATATTCAATCTTTAGAACGTTTATAAAAACTAGGATGCCACTGGTGAAATATGATACAATTAGAGCAGTGCGCTGGTGAAATCAGTGGCCAGTCCAAAGTTTAAAAATCAAATCGTCGTTGATTTTGTGATTTGATATAATTATTATTATGCCTTTTAGTGAGTGATATTTTTACTTGTAAAATAAATTAAAGGAATTAAATAATAATAAATTTTTCATTAGTTAACTTTACAAATGAAGTATTAACCATGACTTTAATTGATGTACATCACCATTCAGCAGGTCTCTCCATAATGGATGGCATTCTACTCCGATGACCCGAGACCCGATTTAGCTCTGTCCATTGAGGGGGGCAGTAAAGATTTTTTAAACATCATAGAATATTTGAGTTATTTGAATACAAAACTTGCAATGATTATTTGAAAAATACCACATATAAAAATATAAATATGTTTAAATAAGCTGAAAAGAAATAAAATGATAAATGATTTTACAAATATTATATGATAACAATGTTGATTTAGTTTAATTGCGCTTTGTTAGGGCTTCAATTAATAAATATATATAATTAAGAAAATTGTAACTATTTTACAATTGATATTACCAATGATTACGCAGTAGAAACTAATAAAAATATAGCATTAACAATATAATTTTGATTGAGATGTATTTTTAAAAATCAAAGTAACTTTTTTTAGTTATGTCCTTTTCATGTCCTAATAAAATCAAGATACTCTTTTTTATATCCAGAAAGCCAACATTTTTTAAAAAAATTGGGGGTACTACTTTCTTTCCTAATAGGCCTAAAATCAGACTTGCTACCCTTTATTGATGGCCCGATACATCGTATATCTTCCATTGAGCGGTCCACATATCAAATTTAATGACGCAAGATTTACCCAGAGTTGATTTGCTCTTGTATTTGTCTTTTTATGGTTAATCATAGAGTTGTTCATCTTATTGTTGTATGCCGACTGACGCACAGCTCTCGATATAATATTAAAATTTTATTTTAAAAAAAGTTATAATTAGAACTATTATATTTTTCACTTTAACCAATACCAATTATTTAAAATACCAAAAAATGATATTTATCTAAAGGGGCTCGTCATTACGTATTAACACACCACTAAGATTAGACACATCCTTTGACAAAAAAATATATTGAAAATACAAATAACATAAAATATCGATAATTTACGATCAATAATATGGTTATCTATATGCATATCTAATTAATTTTTAAATATAATTTTATTATACAAATAATTTGTACTTTATACAATTAGATTCTGGCTCATGGATTGTAGACAAGTTAATGATGCCACCAAATTCGGCACAGAAGTGTACAAAGAGGCTACTCATGTTCCTTACATGGTTCGAATGTTGGTTTTTGGCAAACGCCAATCTAATAATGACATAGAGGGTTACATACGTGCTTTTGTCATTACTGACGACAAAATCGATAAAACCCTAGAACATCAAGAAAGATTCAAGGAGATCGCTCAGAGCAGGGATGTCGAGGTTTCGAATGGAATTTTTGTTTCAACTTTATAAGAAAGAAAGTGTTTACTGAAAATTTATTATGCCATTTTTTGTTCTTGAGTTTACACACATTACATATATTCTACAACAAAATAAGATTTAGGCGAATAATTTAAATATTATATATTATTTATACAGTATGTTTATTGGCGAATAAAGATAAATTACTTATATATATTTTTATTAAGGTCTTAGACAATAAACCTATATTCTTGGAAACGATGGGTAATTTAATACAAATCACCAAATCAGATACCTCACGATTTATTGAAGATAATTTTATGCCTCACGCCGCTTCACCGACTAACTTTTATAATTCATATCATTCTAACATCAACATACCTAATAGCGGGGAAGCAACATCTCCTATATTCAATTCTAATTTGAATGGCCTTTTAGCTCTTAATACTAATATCCTAGCCCTGAAATTTAAACCCTTCCAAGAGAATAGATTACCCTTTAAAGTCAGAATAAAAGACCCTAATCAAGAACCCATAGGCCGATTACTATTTTTAGGTGATCCGCCTTATGCAACGCTCGTTAAACCCGCGGCCCACCCAATATGTACGCTGAACATCGTTCTTCCAACTGAATTTAAAGTTTATTATCTTTCAAAATTTAGATTCAAATGTTTATGTGGTGATTCCACGTCAAATCAGCTATACTTAAAATTCAATGTATAATAAAATTTTGATGATAATTACCCGGCCAACATGACGGGGGGGGTGAGGGGTAGATGCTTAAAAAATTAGAACTCACCCAGTAGGTAGCCCATATAAAATATTTAAACATTTTCTCACTGGTATTTCGTAAAAAAATTTAATGGGTTGTTCTCAATTATTATAAATGGCTGGTTGATTTGTGTAACAAATTGTTTCAATAATTAAATTTCTTAGTTTAAATATTTAAAAAAAGTTAACACCCGAAAAACGATCACAGAGGTTACATGAAAATAAATATATTTTTATTAAATAAAATGCTTGCATCATTAAAAAAAAATGGTAGCTGCCTTATGTACAAAAATAATTTGCAAATTTAGTTGCTAACTTCGTAAATTATTACTTATTACCATCTATTTTTTAATGGAGATATGCAAAATTGCCCAACACCGACCTTACCCCTAGGTTCGGATTATTGTAATTATTTTATTTCGCGTTGGGGCTGTTATATATTAGAAAAGTCATCTTAATATATTATTTGTTTTAGGTTATCATGTAATTAATAATATTGAAAATCACTTTTAATAGTGTAAATTAATATAAACTTAGAAGGTCTATTAAATGATACTTTTATCTTCTAAAGGTAAGTTTTTTAAATTCGGCCTTGATTGCTGCAGAAATCTTAAGCCCTATCAGAAGGGTAAGAGCACGATATAGCGAAAAATTGGTTATCTCGCTTATATCTCCTAAAAAAATTTTAGAGTAAATTTGAAATTGATATTAGATGGTAAGTAAATACATCTATTTAAATTAAGTTTTTGAAAAAATCTCTAAAATGGATAAAATATTCTCCATATTCCCAATTTGGAAATCAAATTGAGGAATTTGGAAATCAAATTGAGGAATTTGGAAATCAAATTGAGGACAAAACTCATATTTCGTCTTTTACAGAATTTAAATAGATGTATTTACTTCCCTAGCATCTATTAATATAAATTTCAAATTTACTTTAAAAATTTCTAGGAGATATAACCTAGATTCCGAATTTTTCGCTGTTTCGTTTATTGCTGTTTCGTACCGAATTCATCAGAAACTGTTTAACCTGCATCAATCAATTTTTGAACCTTTAATTAAATATTCTCATCAAATCCGTTGGAATATATTCAACTACTATGAAATGCTGATTGTACTTCTCGTTATGAATCGTTAGAAGCATTAACAAGTCGTTACCTAGATAACCTCTTATCAGATGAACAATTTATAGTTGCCATAGGCCACCGAATTTGGTGTTGCATAGTTCCACCACATATATGCATTAAATATCGGTTGATTCCAAATGGTAGCATGGTCTCAATTATGTATAGTCAAGGCAGATATGTAAGACATACAACGATTAAATGAATTATTAGCCGTTTACTAGGACCCGAATACCAAACTGGAGCCTAATTTATCATCAGATGATGGTCTGAAATTTTAAAATTATTTTTTGGATGATCAAGTTAAAGTATTTAACTATATTCCAATTATAAACTATAATATAATAAAAAAATAAAAAGGCGCGTATTCTATAAAAACGGAATTGGGTATATAAATTCTACTAAAACACCATAAATTTTTTTCAATTGGTTGTGCCGCTTACTTATTACTGGAGATTACTTTTCTTTACTACTCTACACTTTTTTAAGATAAAAGTTTATTTTAAAAAAAAATATAATAAATGAAAATGATTACAATTTTAGGCAAATTTCAACCTTTTTATATTTTAAATAAAAATAATACATTAATATAATATTGACACTTAATTCTAAATAAATAAAACAGGACTTAACATGAGTCTTACGATAATATAATCAAAAATCAAATTCATGCGCCATTGTTACAAATCCAAATTATTGCGCGTAAAATAAAATACTAAAAAAAACCCCGATTACAACAATTATATTTTAAAAAAGAAATTTGAATATTATTTTTTACTAAAAAATGAAATTCCCTGGGTTCTGGTGTAAGGGCTCTTATTTTATCGGTTAAAATGTTACCTAGGTTACGATTGGCAATATTTCAACCATTCATAACCACTAGTACAGTCAGCATTTTGTAATAGTTGAATATATTCCAAAGGTAGGTTTGTGATATTTAAATTTTTTTTGATTAAAGGTTCAAATTGATTTATGTGTTAAAACTGTGGGTAAAACAGCCTCAGATAAAGCTAAAGATATCCAAACAGTCAAGGCCGAAATTTAAAAGGTTATCTTTAGGAATGATAAAAGAAAATATCAATCATGGCGTTATTCATCAAACTTGATGCCAAAAATAAGAAAGAGATATAAGATTTAAAGAATATTAATCTAAACCTCCCATTTTGGAGGGTAATTGTGAGAAACCTCAAGTAAATTTTCCAATTTAATATTTAAAATATTTCTAAATATTCATGAAAGCGATTAATAATTTTATTATTTAAAAAAAGGAAGATCTAAAAATATATAAATCTTTGGTAAAAATATAAAAGAAAAAACTTTGCCGTGAAGGTATTTCTTATATATTTTATAATCCTAATAATTAAAAATTCCCAAGAACACCTCACAGTTGGAAAAACCGCGTAAATGTGAACCAAGAAGATTAATTTGATTTCTTTAATTATTTTAAACCACTGGATTTCGAGGGCATTTGAATTTAAAGAAAATATTTCAGATTTAGCTTTAATTTAGAATAAGGCCTCTTTTTAGAGAATTTAACTGTATAATCTATCCCTGCTAAAATATTTTTAAATGGTGCACAAATACCATCCAGATACCAGATATTTATGTCTGTTAAAAAAAAAGTTTTTGAAGAATGAATTAGGTTTTATATGCCTAATTTAAATATGAAACCCAAAAAGCCTCCTTGTTGTATATCATTGTCAGAAGGAATTCTATAATCACCAAATTTGAGGTGGGTTCTACAGCCATACTGTTCAATAAATTTTGCATACATTAGAAATTTTTCATAAAAAATGTTTAAAAATACTTTTCTGGATAAGGAATTAAAAGTATTTTATAAATCCAGCTTACAAGAGGAGGATCTTCGATGAATATATATGCAGATAGTGGGCAGCTATTTCCCCCTTTAGTACCAAATCCAAGTTGATATGTTTGAAACATTTTTGAAGTATCAGATTGGATCCTTTCAATGATTATCTTAACTACTTGTATACTGAAAAGAGAAACTTTTGCAATCGCCGAACCCTATCATTAGGCTTAGATAGTAAATTTAATCCAAAAAGGAGAGATGAATTGGCTAGGTAAAATCTTTGTTCGCTCAATATTATCAATGAAACAAATGAATTCTGAATAGGATTTTTAGGTTGATTAAAAATTGGAAATAAGAAAGTCGAAAACCGTCAATTCCCTCTGCTGATTTTTTATTAAAAGATATTTGGTGTTTAGATCACAATCTTTAATTTGGGACTTCATCTGCGAAGAATTTTAATTTTAATCCAGTTGATATAGCTGAGAAGAAATAAAATAAATATTATAAATTAATAAATTATGTTTTTTTACCAATCGTTATCACTTACCTTGGACATATGTCAAGCGGACTTATTTTTTTAAAAATATAGGCAGCAAAATTAGAGCAATTACATCAGAACCCATAAAAAGATATTATTTTATCAACACGAGCAAAAAAATATGTATTAATACAATATTTTTTATTTATGTCAAATATAAAGGAAACAAATATAACTTTAACATTAATTTAAAAAATTAAGGTTATTAAATTTCTAATCATCATACTTAAAGAAAATATGCTAAATTTTAATATTTCTAAAGAAACTATTCACGTTATTCATAAATCCAAAAAAGATATTATCAAACGCCATGCAAAAACCATTGTATTAAATAAACAAATAAAGATAACTTATTATATTTCATAAATGATAATTTTACATACTGAATAATTTTATTGGCAAATAAATTAAAAAATATGGAAATGTTTTCCATCATGCAAACACTTTCTTATTTTGTACATATAGTCCATACATAAATTCGTATGATTTTGACAAATTACTAAAATATTATTTGAAAATGATTGAAGATATTTTTGCTAAACTAAGAATATTGATAAAATGTTTTTTTTGGTCTAAGTTAAGCAAAAATCTTAGTCCCAACAGTGCCAAAATTAGACAGGTTTGACTGTAATTGATAAATAAATACCTTAATCAGGGATGCGAACCCAAAATTTTTGCCCGGATTCGGTTTAAGGTAAAAAAAAAGGTGGGTTCGGTTCAGGGAAACATTTTTGAACCCAGGTTTGGTTCCTGGTTCAGCTCGGGCTTAAGAATTTTTGAATTGATAAAAAAAAATCTATATTTAAATCATAAATAAAAAACTAGACATAAATTTTTTATTTTATTTACAGGCAAAATAGAGTTAAAAATACAAAAGTTTATCAAAAATTTTTGTTTAACAATTTTTAATTTAGATTTTGAGAATTCTTTAAATTAACAATATCCAATATAATAATTGACTTGTTAACTTTCATTTTCCTCTAATTAATAATCTTTGAGAATAAGTTAAAAATAAATGATATAAATTAATTTAATTGTTTAAAATTTATTAACACTCCAATAGAAATCCTTGAGAATAAATTTTAAAAATGGCGTAAATGAATTAAGTTGTTTAAAATATATTAAGACTTCACTTAATTGGAAATATAATATGAAAATATTATAAAATCTCAATTAAATTATTAATATTTGTATTTACAATTATACAAATATCTTAATATATGATTTTGACAATACACTGAACCTGGTTGAACCCGGGTTCAAATAAAATTCCCGGGTTCGGTTCGGGGTTTTGAAAATTTTATAAACGGAGTTCAGGTTAGGTTTGGGTTCATATATTTTTTTCAAAAACCCGGGTTTTATTCTCCGGGTTCGGGTTCGAATCCCTGCTTGTAAT